CAATTTACAGCCATTTAAATAATAATCTACCTTCCTATTTTTGCTACCAAAGTAGATAACTTCACATTTATCCTTTTTTTTTGCATCTGCCATGCATTGGTCCACCTATTCCGCATGTCTAAATCACATTGCAACATCTCTGCATTCTCCTCACCCTTTCACATCTGAACATTTTGAGATTTACATGCAGTTGTCTCATCTAAATCATTAACATATTTTGTGAATAGCTGGGGTCCTAGTACAGATCCCTATGGTATCCCATTAGCCACTGTCTGTCATTCAGCAGAAGACCCATTTATTTATTCTCTTTGTTTCCTGTGTGCTGACCAATTTTCTATCCATCTAAACATACTACCTCCAATCCTATGAGCTTCAATTTTACACATTGATTTCTTATGTGGTATTGCATTAATATCTTAAAAAGAATCATTTGTTGGATTGTATGGAAATGTGGCAGAGCAAGGATGGCTTCCACAAAGAGCCTGCACAGGTATGATGGTCCAAATGACACCTTCTCTGCTGTAAGATTCTTTTTGACCAGGATGGATTAATTTCACTGTAGAAATGTGGAAACTTTTTAAGTATACAAATATGATATTTATAGGAATAATTAAAGGTTTCACAGAATAACAGCAATCCTGATGTATTTGGGTTAATTATGAGATTTTTATACATTTTTGTGTGGATGTCCATTTCCTCCTACTAGTGTGTCAGATCCATTGTTAACAGAGACGTCAATACTCCTGAATTAATTTCTAATGTTCAGGGGAATCCCAGACCTTTGCAAGGGCCAGGTGAACATGCAGAATGGAGAATGGTTTGCAACTCTCTAAATATTATCACAACAATGATTGCCAGGTGGCTGTTTAAGTATTGAGTTTGGAGATCTCTCAGTAAACAGTTAAAGTTGCAAAGTAAGAATTATATTAATTACAGTATTAATCATGCTTTCGAGAAACGTCAAGGAAAACTGTTTTTGAAAACATTTAAAAATGCATTTGACTTCTTGTACCAATAAATAGTAACTTCAGGTTGCAGGAATTTCAGGAAAATTAATATTCCATCGTAATTTGACATGAAAAATTATTCACCTACTCTTGATAATTACCTGCCATTGTAAACTATTAAAACTTCATTTGAAAAATGGCAGTACTTGTTTCTTAGTTATGTTTAAAGGTTTTAAAGGTCATTATCCCATGTCTACTGTAGCACAATGCCTTATTAAAATACCTTTCTAACTCCAGTTTACAACTGCAGTGTCTTCAGCACTATGATTGGAAAAGACTTATAACACTTGCTAATGATTGCTACAAGCATTCATTATTAATGGACAAAAACAACTCTTTAGAAACAAACTCTGGTAATTCTAACCTGGCCTCAGCCTAGAGATGTTTTAAAAATCTCTTGAAAAAGTTGTTTGGTATTAATTATGATGATTAGTATCTGATTTTATATCCAAAGAAAACACACCTGATATATGCAAAAGACGAGTACTGGTGTACACAAGATCAGAGATTAGGATTCAATCTATGTTTTGTCCAGAGGGATTTGATTGCAAAATTCTCTGCTGAAAAACTAATGAAAATGATTCGAGTTGGAGATCATATCTTCTGTCCACAGCGTTTAAAGAAAGAGCCAAGGTTTCGTTTTCACAACCTAATCTCTAATGTTTAACCTGAAAAGGGATTATTTATTTGTATTTTAAACACAGCTCAGTCGTGATTATTTCAAAAACCAACCAGACATGCCATCACAAACCTACAGCGTTCCTGATCAGAAATTTAATTAACTGGTGGCGGTAACAACAAAAACAATTCGAGGTGAATCTCAGATTTAATGTTCAGACAAGGTTTGATGGCATATACTGCAAAAGTCTGCAAACCTCCGTTCAACCATGTGCCATGTTTTGAGAGTCCATGCTGAAAAGACACAATGGTCTAATCAGTACACTGTAATTCCTTGTTGGAACGTTTAGTGACAAACAGAAGTTAGTTCATTCATTAATTTTCAATTTCTGTTGGCTAGCAGTGATGTTGGATGTCTTTTTTTTAATCAGTTTGGATTCCAGGGTGGGAGCCCACCGTGAGTTCGTAGAATTGCCAGACCCACGCATCCTTCCAGCGTATTGAGTTTCCTCACTAGCCAGATAACATTCAGACTTTGCACGGCAGTCCGGATGAACCAGTACTGTGAAGTCAGATCACACTGGCCACTGTACAAGTGTTCGCGTTGTACAATGAGAACCCCACTTTAGATCCATATGTTGATTACATGACATAAGCGCAGTAGTTTACTGGCTCTATACACGGATTTAAACAGAAACGCACGTAACTTTCAAAAAATACTTTAATAATCATGTAAATTCGGTAAAAAAAAACCGCTGTGCAATTGGAACATGGGTGGCCAACCACGCACTCCGCGCCTAGCGTCTGGTCAGGTTTGCGCTTCAAAAGGAAAATGTAGGAGATTTTCCCCATATGGGAGTCTTGAAGAAATTTGCTTTGATCTCACTTGGAAGGCGGTTAGAACAGCAAAACTCAATGTCTTCTTCAGCTGTCTTTCTACTGAGTCCAAGTGAAGTACTAAACGGATTGAATGCAGGCCTGAATGTTAATTCGGGAGATATGGGTAAAGGCCGCAAACACAAGTATTCAAGCGTTCTGACAGATGTAATGCAAATCTGGCTGTAGTCCCCATGAAGGTTAGATCGCGCACTGTGCAGTAACTTGTGTTTTTGACTCACAATCAGCGTGACTTACATCTAATTTCAGACCGATCGAGCAGGTCCAAATTGTTCAAATGGGATGCGGACGAAAATCGCGAGGCAAAGACATTCAAATAATTTTTGAGACACTTACCTTTATAGGGAGTATGTAGAGTTATTTTATAGTGCAAACGGTTTAACACGTTCAACAACGGTTGTGGAGTTCAGCCTCTTAAGACTAACAAAAAGAGCAATAGTTGTTTGCACAATCATTAAACGCTTGCCAGTAATTTGCTTCATGTACGACGTCTCAATACATAACATTGTCTAAAGGAACGTATCGATTTTAAGGAGAAAACGAATAGGTCTTTTTGATTTTGGTGTTCAAATGTTGAATGGGTTGGTAAGGTTTGATCTTGCCGTCTAAGCTACCACTGTAAGATTGTGTTTGTAGGGGGGCTTTCAATGAGAATTTCAACACCTCAATTCCCCACTCAGCAAAGAGTAAGAGTCAACTTCCTCAACAACCTCCTGGTCTGTATGTTGTGCGTTCATCCTCACTGTTCTAAGGCTGTTGCTTGGTATTGCTTCGTGTTTTGATAACGGCCGTCGAAAAACATACCAAGTTGCTGCTGTAAAGTTGCACTTCCTTAAAACCACCGTTACTTGTCCCAAAGGAGTTGCAAGTGTTGCTAGAGGATTCAGTGTAACCTTATTACACAAAGAGGCTAACAACTTTAAAGCAGGTTAAGGAGCATTTGAACAAACAACTCTCAATGTGTTTAAATACTTGCCAGCATGTTGTATTTTGACGCGGTTTTGCTGTTTTTCAAATAATGAACTGGTGCGTGCTAACAGTTCGTCATGTGTTTAAACTAAGACGTGAGAATGGAAATAAACCAACTCAGAAAATTTGACAGAAAATTCAACAAATGAAACAATATTGCACCCAAATGGCGCCCCATTCACTTTTCGGTTTCGTTAACCGCGAATTCCCGTCGTTGCGAATTTGACGACCACTTAAGAGCTTCGTTGACCCGTTTACACTTTGAGAGTGTTTGGTCAGCACGGAGTGTGAATTTGCCTGACACTTTGGTGAGGGAAAGCCTTGCACCTTAAAGGAAGCTGGTATAGGTGCAGCTGGCCCGCATCTGTAACGGTGTGAATTTGCTTCAGCCGTGAAATTAGCATACCCTGGGGAGCAGTAAAATTGCTGCATTACAATCTGCAGCCTGAGAAGCAACGTGCCTGAAGGTGGGGCAGATTTGGTCTGACTCGCACTCTTCAGGAGTGCTACACTATTGCTGAAAACATATTTGGGCTTAAAGAGAAAGCCACAACCTCATGGCATGTTTTATTGCGGAGGCGCACCGTAAAAGTTAGCCATTCCAACCATTTGAAATCAGTGTTCCCGGATTTCTATGAATAAAGCCCCAAAGCGATCAGCAATTACATGAGTTGATGTAATTTCAAATGTTGACATTTAAAACGACTCCTGCTAGGAGGTTATGCTGACAAGCTTTTAGCTTCACGTCCCTCGCCTCCCGGCCAAAGTTGAAACGCTGTTGGTCGGGGAAACAGAAATACAACTAGAAAATCTACCCAACGGCGCTAAAGTGACCCAGCCTCTGTGCCAATCCTGTTGATTGTGAAATGTGAAATCTAGCATCGAATGCAACACAAACTAGCTTAGCACTGCTTTTCTTAAGCAAAAATCGGTCAGTGGGGCACGAATGAGAATAAAACCTCAGTGGATGCAGTCCATTAAGTGAATTATAGAGTTGAGCAGCGGATACACCCGGCAACGGGTTACTGACCATTATAATGTCTCCGTATCTTCGAACAAATAGATTTTATGGATTATTTATGTTATTTGCATCTTATTAGGTTTTCAGCATAAATCTGTTAAAATAGAGAGTGATAATTAATTTTCTGATTTGCTTAACCCTGGTCCAGGAGTGATTGTCTTGCCTGATGGTTCAATGTCGGTTTCATTTTGCGCAATGTCCTATTTGTCTTGTGGGAGGAGACCTTCCAGACCCAACAAGGGTTAAAGAGATGCCCCATGGGACGGATCTAGGGTTAATGACGGGGTGGGGGGGGGGGGAGGGTGGATACTGGATGTCAGTAGTGTTACAGACTCAGAGTGTGTATATATAGAGCTCTTCTGTGTACGTTCGGGGCTCTTTTCTCTGACCCTTACCGAGATTTGTCTTAAAACTCCATCAATTGCTTTGATTATATCGAGAGCTTGGGCGAGTTCTGCGCTTCAGCCAAACCAGTTGGATTCGCCATTATGGATATTATGGTCGACTGCCACTTCTCTCCCTCCGACCTGTTTTATGATCATTCTTGCCTCTCGTCGCCCGAGGAGGCAGAGTTTGCGGATGAGTTTGAGCACGGCGCACTTGCGTTTCGAGATGATAAACTGGAGTCCCGCGAGCCTGAAGAAGAGAAACATGTCAGGGCCCCGAGCAGCCACCACCAGGCTGGGGGCCACTGTCTCCTCTGGGCTTGCAAAGCCTGCAAACGTAAAAGCTCCAGCACTGACAGGAGAAAGGCGGCCACCATGAGGGAAAGGAGGAGGCTTAAGAAAGTGAACCAGGCGTTCGAGACGCTGAAGAGGTGCACCAGCTCCAATCCGAGCCAGAGGCTGCCTAAAGTGGAGATTCTGAGGAACGCGATCAGTTACATCGAGAGTCTTCAGGAGCTCCTGAGGGAACAAGTGGCGAATTACTACAGCCTCCCAGACAATGTCAACTCAGAGCCAGGAAGTCCCACGTCCAACTGCTCGGACGAAATGGTAAGCAACGATTTAATAATCCCCATTCCCCTTCTCTAATACACACAGAATTAATGTGCATATCTATTTTTGCAGAATTAAAAGAAAATGCACTGCAAGATGTCTGTATTTAAGAGGAGCGAAATGGAACCTCTGGTTCAGAATCATTCTGTTTCATTCATCTGTTTGTCTCGGAACCCTCCGTTGTTTCTATGATCGATATGCTCGCTTGCTCTGGCAGATAACATGCGGCGTGTCTGTCTGTTTATGACATTAGCTCAGTGTGTTTCTTTGTATTACTAATGCGAGTCGAGAACATCTGGTTTTGGCGGCCCATTCCTAATTAAAATACTTGCCCATAAAATTTTCTTCTTTGCATCCTGAAGTAAAACCTGGTCTGTACGAGTTTCTAAAATATCGATTACAAGTCTGTTCGTAAAAGCGGCTTTGTCATTTCATAGAGCTTTGTAGCTGATGACTTTTTTTTCCTTCTGATAAAGAATGATGAACTGTGCCTGAGCGTGTATAAGGAAACGTTTCACCATTTCATTCTTTTGTCCGACATCTGCCTTCATGTGTTCGTGTAAGATCTGGAATGATACCAAGCTTCACAAATTGACATTTAAAATGGGTTGCAATGGATAACAAACGGAACTCGTTGTTACATTAAGGTCAAAAAGGTTGATTTTACCAAATGCATTTCAATCTTAAATAATCGTGAACCAACTAACGGAGCAATTATCAAAATACTTATAAAAGAACCGATACGGTCCCTTTAGAAACAAATTGTCCCTCAATACTGTCCAAGAGAGGATCCAAGCTCAATCTAAGTAGTTAACAATGAGACTGTTTATTCAGGTGCATGCAACATTTCAATTCGCTTATCAGTAAATTGATTTTCGGTTACTTTTCCCAAGTAACATCAAAATAGCTGCGCTGTGCTACTGCCCCGACCAGACCGGTCTTTATCCATGTTTTAACTCTGTGGAGTGTTTGGGTGTTCACAAGGCGGCATAAGGGAAACCACGAAGGATGGGGCCAGCAATGAGAATGGTCAAAAAGTTGCATTCGCAGTTGTCGGACAATCTTTCTGTGACTCATTCCGTTAATTAACTTGGGGGGGGGGGGGGGGGGGGGGGGGTGGGAAGGGAAAAGAGGAGCTAAACAACTTCATTAGTACTTGCTGGAAATTAGATGAAATGTTCTCTGTAGCTCAGGGTTTGAGTTAGATGGCGCCTGGGTCTCATTATGTGTGACCGACTGCTTCTTCTCGCCACTTCATTCAAAGTTGCTGCCACACACATTGATCTCTTTGGATGCAGGGATGATGACTTTCCCACCTCTGCACATTCTGCTCTCCACAGGAGCCGAAAGCAGCAGCAAACTGAAGCCTGTGTTATTTGAAACAACAACTAGTGAAACATTCTTACAGCACTACGTTTTTGACTATCAGAGCCAAAGCTTTAATATGAAGTTAGTATGGGAAAATCTGACCTGGCACAATTAATGTAGCTTCCGTTAACTGCAGAGACATGCAATTCATTTTCCATGGATAACACAATGCACATTTCTGTACAGGCATACAGACAGACCTCATGCTTTGTGTGAGAAAACCGTGGTGTGGCAAAGAACCCAACTATGTCTAATCAACAGATGGGTTTATTTCCGTCCAGGGGTAATCATTGTTTTACTCATTCAAGCCTCCTGACGCACACAGTATAAAGTCACTTGTTACGATGAATTTATATAAAGGTTTAACTGAAAGGTTTGGAGGATTTTACTTTGATATCCTTTGTTTTTGCAGATGGGATGCAACAGCCCCGTCTGGTCTAGGAGGAACATCAGTTTTGACCGCATTTATTGTTCGGAATTACAGAACGGTACATTTTAACGTTTTTTGTGAAATCATTTTACAGCTCATCACAAGTCTACCTTGAAACTGACGAAATTAGATATTAACTCTTAAGGCGCAGTCTATGAAAATGACAAGAACACGAGGCTTTCCAGTTAAAGAAGCTATTAATAGTAGATTGTTTCCTAACCCACGGTCGAAATGACAGCTTCTAGTTTGAACCCCTCCGATTGTAAAGCAATAACTACTTTAAATCTAAACTCATTACTTGAGGTCCTTCGCACAGTATACCCAAACAAAATACAGCCAGTAGTACAGTTTTTTTCCACGAAAAGTTTGAGAGAATACTGAACGCGGCAGAGTGAAACAGCGGGTATTCCTGAATGGGTCTGGGAATCTGTTTTACTTTCACGTGATTTTTTTAAAATGAGAGCACTTGGTTCACGGTAGCCAGTTTTTTAAATAATGCAATGGTTACTCTCGTAAAGGCCAGCGGCATTTTAAGTATAACAAATGTGTATGAGGGAACAAATAATGGCACATTGCTTTAAAATAACGACTAAGAGTGAAGAGAGAGTTTAGTACATTTCTACAGATGTATAAAGTATGTTAGTTATGTTGTTTACATATTTGTTGAGGTTTGCGCACTTATCGCCACACGGCCATTTCTTTTTATATATTTATATAGTTTGTTCCAGCAGCCGAGGTGTGTCAGTTTCCAGTCTGGACTACCTGTCTAACATAGTGGAGCGGATTTCACCTTCCCTGGAGCGCTGTCCTGTTTCAGGTCAGGACGGAAGGACCATATCTCCGCCTGTCAGCGATTCCTCGCAGCCCACCACTCCTAGCCAGCCGGTATATCACGTTCTCTAAACCCTCAAGCCGCCGGTCTTCACTATGGCCGCTTCCACCGCAGAACACAACCCTTGTATTCAAAGCTTCAATCATAAGTTGTTCTATAAGTTAGACCATGTTCTATTGTATATTTGTAAATAGCATAATGTTCGTTAGTCGCCAACAATATAATTGTATTTAAGAACTGAATAAAATCCCGAAAGACATTTTATAAATCTCATCATTCTCGCTTTCCCGTTCCAGTCCTGCAGCATCCATAGCATAACAACTGCGTTTCAAACCTGTGACATTCCTCATTTATTATCACTGTCAGAGGGAGAGCGTTTAGAAACTGATTTCAAAAATAACACGAGAGTTAGGCAAGCCTTGAAAACAATCCCAAGCATCATTCTTCTTCGGAAAATCTATCATGCTTCTGACGAAGAAATATTTCTTGTGAGATTTTCTGCAGCCTAGTTTTTTTAAAATACACTACGATTCGTTAATTGAATGTGACCATTTCTTACCAGAAGTTCATTTGCAAGCGTCTTGTCTTCCAACTGCTTTGGTTATATTTTTATGACTTACCATTAAAGACCTTAGGCCATTGCAACTTTGCAAATGAGCTAGAATCCACCAAGGTCTTGTTGCCCAGTGGTAGTGTCACTGTCTCTGGCCTAGAAGATCTGGGTTCATGTCTCACCTGCCGTGAAGAAGTGTCATAGTATGTCTGAACAGGTTGACTTAAAAATAATTTTAAAGAAATGCATATCTAAGCTACTTCTCCTAAGAAATGGTTTGAATTTAAGCAAATCTCTTTGCAAGCTTGGTGTTACATTTGATCCTTAGATGAGCCTTTAACCTTATATTTGTGCCATTACAAAGTATTTCCACCTTTGTAACCACCCAGCCTCACCCCTGTCTCAGCACATCTGCTGCTGAAACTCTTATAAATGTCTTTGTTACTTCACATTTCAAATATTCCAATGTGCTCCTGCTGCTTTCTCGTATTCTATCTTCATTGACCCTGAGGTAATCCAGAATTCTGCTGCCTGTGTTTTAACTTATTGCAAGTCCCATTCCCTATCATCCCTGTGCTCACTTCTCTGCATTGTTTCCAGGTCAAGTGAGCTCTTGATTTTAAAATTCTCATCACTTGCTTTCAAATTCATCCCTCTCTATCTATGTAATCTGTTCTAGTGTCACAACCTTCCAACATGTTAGTGCTTCATTAAATCTGACCTCAACTGTATTCCTAATTATAACTGCTGCACCATTAGTGGCTTGTGCCTCCAGCTGTTAGGGCCCAAACTTTAAATATCCTCCTTACTTCTCTTACCTGTATTGCTCAATTTCCTCTTTCAAAACACACCTTAAAATCTACATCTTTGACTAAGATTGCATTCATCTGACCTACTACCTCTTTATGTGGCTGGGCATCATACTTTGTTTTGCAATACTCCTGTGAAATGCCTTCAGATGTTTCATTGCAATAAAGGCACTGTATAAACATAAGCTGCTGTTTCATCATGAAGAAGATTCCAGAATATTGTGGAAAGATTTAGTCAATTAAAATTTGCTATAGTTGCTCCATTACTGGGCCTTAGAATATGTTTAACTTTACCTTTTCTCACTCATTTTTCGCTACCCTTTGGAATTGTTTTTGAATCATGAGAATTAGGAGAACCCAACTAATCTTTGGGAGTGCACTTATTTTGTAATGTAAATATTGACAGTAAATATTTAATTAACATTAAACCTTCCATCCACTTCTTGATGCCAGTTTTGACATTCTGTTTGAAAACTATTGTCACTTTACAAAAATGTTATCAATTGAACACACCTCCTTCTCTCATAATAGGTTGCAGGTAGAAATGGAAGAAAAAAAGTCACAGTTTCATCATCTCAGCAGTGATTGTAGTCTACTTTTATGGGTCAGGATTCACCAACTGGGCTTCTACCTAATGCCAAATAAAGAACACAAGGACATGGTAGAGAAATGGAGGAGTGTTCCCAAAACCAGAACTGAAAAGTGGAGTTATTTTAATATTAGTGTAAGGGCAATTTCTGTGCCACAGCAACATAGCATAAGCAGTTTATCATGTTAGTGTCTTTACATTATGTGCAAGACCTCCCAGAAAAAGTAAGCACACATTGTTTTGACTTTTCATGCATCTTGGAAGTGCAGCTGTTGTCAGACAAATGGTTTAAGTTTAAACTTAAAAAGAATGCAGGTGGTTCCCTGAACTTTTTAAATAATTTATAAAGAGTTGAATGTCAGGTCTACTTGTATTTACACTAAAAATACATGTCACCAACATCATTCTGAAAATCATGGGTATAGTAGAACTGGATATCTCATACCAATGATTCCACTACATCACCATTGCCAAATGAACAACAATTTTAGTGGAGAGCAACAGTCACATTTACTAGTAGCATTACAAAGTGGAGAGACAGATCTCTGCATACACACTGAAACTAAGGCACTGAGCAGAATTTACCTACACCCAGCAGCCATATTTTGCTTCTCTGATTGAGAAAAAGAAAGGTGCTATCAACTTTTTTCAACCAACAAGGAATAGAAAAGCAATCTCTCTTGCATTACAAAAAGTACCTAAAATATGATTTCATTACTGATTATACGTCAGACAGCATAAATTAAAATTGAGGTAATACAGCTTCTTCGCAATTTAAAGAAAATAAAGAATTTGAACAACATCATGCTTCATCATGTCTCACAGAAATGTTCAAATTTCAAGACAGACAATGAAATTTTAAGTGAAATGTTTGATGCTTTGTAGCAAAATGGAGACCAGTTTGTACATAACATCATACCAGGCAACAATAATTAAGTGAATAAGCAGTCAATCTGCCATTGGTTGTATCGATTGGTGCAGGAACATCGATCATGCCACCTGGAAAATTTTCCATGCTTCTTTAATATTCACTACAGAATGTGGCAGACAGGATTTCAGTTGAATATCACCTTGAAAGGATGACATCTCCAGTTAACATTCCCTAAGTTTCAGAGCGTTAGCCTATCCCACTATAGATTCAGCCCAAATCACACATCCAAGTGTGAGAATGCAATTTAAATTCATTTATTTCAATAAATGAAACAGGGTTTACATTAACATCACTATTTCATGTTTTTGCCATTGTCACAATAAAATGTAACCTGCGTTTTCTACAATACTTTTGTGGCATTCAACATGGTTGACAATTTCAAACTACTTCATCATCTCTTCCTCAAGCATATGTCTAATAATACTGTATCTGAGTCCACTCAGCCCATAGCCTGCACATCTCCTGCTAGGTTTTGTCCTGCCTCTTATATATAATCACCTTGAGAGCAAGACTCCATCCTTAGTCCCATTTTCCTAATTCAGATGATAATTGCGGTAACACATCACTTTGTTTGTTGGGCTTTGTCATAACTACAGAGTATATGGACTATTAATCTTTAAATGTCATTGACCTACTTAAAAACCCTGGACTTTGGTTTGAAAGAACAGTTAAAAATGAGCCGGAACATCTGACCTGAAAGTAACCAAGCTTCAGGAATTTACAAAGGAATGTCTAAGCAACATGGCTGAAATTGTCTACAAAACTCTGAAATGTTATCCATGGATAATTATCTGGACATTACATTTCATCAATATATAGTTCACAATGAGACTTTCATATTTCTGTGGGCATGAGACTTCTTGGCTATAGGTTTTTCTTGTACAAAAACATGCCAAAATCTGTTATACAAAGAGAAATTGAACAACCTTTCCCCCTATATATATACATGTAAATATCTAAGGATTGAATGAGACTTATAACAATGGATCAAAGAAACTGATTGTTAAAAACAGACTGTCCGACTGTGAGCCAAGAAGAAGTGTCCAGACTTTGAAAATGCCTATTGTGAGGAACAATAGTTATAAGTCTCTGTTTTTGCTAAAGAAAACTAATATCCAGTGACAAGAAGTTGAAGAACACCTCATAGAATGTAACATCTCTCTCTTTTTGGAAGCAGAATTGCTTGGAATTGATCAGTTCTGAATGAAAACCAACAGTGAACTGCGATCTTTTAAGACATAGAAATCTGCTCTGCACAATTACATTTAGAAGAATAACTGAAACAGCTCACCTGCAACCTCCACTGGAAAATAATATCAGAATTTGAACATACATTTCCTTGACATAACTGTATATTTTTTTCAATTCCACCTCTCTTCACCCTGTACTTTATTCTAGTTGTTGCATGTTGTTGTGTGTATGCCACAGAATTCATGGTGGGTTTTTGTCTTTGAATTAAGTTTATGCCATACTCGAGTGAGTTTAGGTAAACAAACTCCTCAATTTTGATTGCCTCAAGAGATTTGGGTTTGTTTGTTTGTTGTTTTGCACAAGGTCAAATACACATTGAATTGAAAAGCAAACCTTTCTTAAATTCAAGATGTTACACCAGCATCAGGAGTGAAAAGAGAGGAATTAATTCATCCCTCATTTCAAACTACTTCATCATCTCTTCCTCAAGCATACGTCTAATAATACAGGCTTGTTACAGGCTTAAACATGTTCATAAACTTTGGAATGAATCTTGCAGATTTTTGGGTAAGTGCAAATCAAGTTGAGTTTGGTTGAGTGATTCTCAACGCAAGGGGGAGTGAGTTTTCTCATCTCACCTTACCAAACATATTACGTTAACCAATGTTTCAACTCTTACAGTAAGGATCGCATTTGATTTCTGTCCTATCTTACCATGTGTTTTTCCCAGAACAACTCACTATTCACCAGCGATCCCTTGTGCCTGTCACATTTAAAAGGCAATTGCGCACCCGGATGAGCATTGTCAGTGTGGAGTTCCCTTGCACTCTTTTTGATATTTGCACTGGAAATGAAGGAGTGGGGAAATCATTACGATGCTTTGTAGGCAGGGTCCTGGAACTCTAACTGGACAGGGTAGTAAACTGGTGGGACTTCCTCAACTCCTGGGCCAACAATGAAGGCCATGATCGCAGAACATGACAGACAGCTTGGTCTAA